CAGAATCTACCTCCTGAACGGGAAAGTCTCCATGAGGAGCTTTGTGGGGAAAGCATTCAATCCCATCAACCAAAGATTTAAAACATGTTATCACTCCTCCCTTTTACCAAATTGTGTTCTTGTACCAGTTTCCTAGCCACAGAAGAAAATCCCTAATGTGTACCTGTCTGACTTGAAAAGAGGGGCTACGTCGATCTGGTTTAGAAATATTGAGAAGACTCTCCAGGGACAGTGATGAGTGCACACTTTTGCATCAGCACAAGGAAGTTGAATTTCTCTCCAAAGAAAGATGCTACTCTGCTAGGGCTTCAACCACCACGTGGGTGCTAAAAAGATGGAAAATGAACGTTGGCCACGGCTGCTCTCATACCCCCCTTCTCTCACCCCATTTTAGTCTGCTCTAGATCAGGAATGCTGAGCTATGCCAGTGAATCTCACTGTTTCCCAGTCCCCCTCCCCCCCAGCTATTTGTCTGACCCTGGCATCCCTTCTTATCCTCCCTCCAAGCCTGTGCCCCTAATCCAGCTTGCAGCTCTGCAGCCTCCTGAGGATGGTGCCAGAGATGGCTGAGCAACTGGTTAAAAGCTCCTCACAAAACTAACCCTCACCATTGCATCCTTTGCAATTAACTGTATTTTTATCTGTACTCTTCTTACAGCAGACAAAGGCAGATGGCAAGAAAACAAGCCAATGTGAGGGATGTCTAAAAGAGAAAAAAAAAAAAAAAGTAAAGAAAGAAAGAGGGAAGGAAGGAGGGAGGGAGGAGGAGGAGGAGAGCGACCATCAGGAGAGGAGCATGGCAGGAGGGGAAGTATTGACAGCCCTGGACCAGCATAATGACAGAGTGGAGGGTCAGGCCCTGAGGCTGACAGTAGATCTTGAGCATAGACGAGCACTGGGTTTGTGCTCATTAAGTTCTTTTTACTGAGGCAGGAAGCGGTCTTGGATAGTTTAGGATGATTTGAGACAGGAAGGACTTTCCTACTTGCATTCTTAGTCAACCAGAATCTTTTCCCTGTTCTCTTTCTAAAATTTCTACTCCTGCAAAAAATTTCCTCAGTACTTTGTACCAGAGTTAGCACAACCAAAACAAAACCAAAACCCCTCCAAGAATGGTGTTTTGGGGTTTATGACAGAGGTTAGCAGATGAATGTTGCCCTCCTAAAGCTAATTCATATATTCTGTCTTCCTTTCCCTGAAACCTCTCTCTCTCTCTCTCTCTTTCTCACTCACTCACTCTCTCTCTTTCTTCAGCATTGCTGGAGAAAGGTGCTCTGCTTTCTCTGATGTGACAGATAGTACTGATAGTTCTGTGTTCTGACAGTCAAAAGAAACCTTAGAGCCAGAGACAGACTGATAAGGAAATAAATCTTATTTAGGTGCTGCCAACACTATGAATTTTATTAAAAGCAGGAAAAACCTTCTACTGGCAGCTGAGACAGTGTCATTGGGTAAGAGGCTTTGATCCTTTTCTCTCCTTTGTAGAAGAGAACTTGGCTGTTAGACTCTGCAGGTTTAATTAACACATTAACCTGAGTGGCTGTGACCTTTAGGTATGACACCAGGCTGGACAATAGGGGGAAAATATTTGAAATAGTAGGTGGAGTATACAGAGCAGCTTTGGCTAAGGGTAAATATGCAAGACCCTGCTTCCAAATCTTTGGAAGCTTCAAATATACTGATTTATAGTTCTGGTTTGTTCATTTGTTTGTTTTTTAGGTATAGGCCTCTACCATGGCTCCATGGAAATAAAATATATTCTTCTGATAAGTTACCTTTGTCCACCCATTGGGAAACCTGGGTACTTTACTAGATAGATTCATCACTAGGGAATTTGCAGGGTGCGAAATTGACACTTCTTTCCCCCTTGCCAATCTACTATGTGCTAGACATTTTCTAGAAGGAAAGGATTCCCGACACCTGTAAACTTTGTGGTTTCATTGAAGGGGCAGGGAGTGGTCTCAGATATTTTAGAGTGACTTTAGAAAGGAAGGAATTTCTGCCTTGCATTCATAGATGGCTCTCCTGGAAGGTTCCTAAGAAAATTAAATATAAATATGTGGCCTGTAGCTTGATACGATCTGTTGAACCATGGAAATGAGGCCACAGGGAAGTTTAGTGTGTAGGAGAAGGTTCATAGAAAAGGCATATTTTGGTCTGGGCCTAAAAAGAAGACTGGCAGTGAGGTAGGCAAGTCTTAAAGCCACCTCACCCAGAATGGGGAGCATCAGTGAAGACACACCAAAGGAAGCCTGCTCAGATGTGAGTGAGAAAGTGAGAAGGTGCATCCGTCAGCACCAAAGTGTTCTTTTCGAGAGAGAAAATGGAAAAGAATGTGACTGAGCTGAATAAGAGAGCCTTGGTTTATTGGATTGTCTGGTATCCCTACTGCTTGAGGGGCCTCTGGATGCTCACAGATAACAAAGCAGCCCCTTGAAGAGGATAAAAACAAATATCATGGGACATACCTGACTGATCCACAGATTCTGCATCCAAGCCTAGGGGGATCAATTAAAAAAGACACACACACACACACACACATACATGCTGGCACCCAGTAATTCCTCACAAAGATAAATTCTGTGTGGGGGCAGGGATGGCAATCCTTGGTGTCACCGTATGAGCCCTCAGAGTTAATATTTGATTTTCAAGATGTATGTGAGTCCAACCTCACGTGCAGAATTATTATTTCAAGCCATCCTGATTCTGTTACATTTGCATAAGTCTTTGTATATAAATATAGATGTTAACATACATTTATATATAGACACAGGCACACACAATGGTGTGAACTCTATTCTCTTTATTTTTTTTTTTATTTAAATTCAATTAGCCAACATACAGTACATTATTCGTTTCAGATGTAGAGTTCAGTAATTCATCGTTGCGTATAACACCCAGTGCTCGTCACATCACGTGCTCTTCTTAATGCCCATCACCCAGTTACACCATCCCCCCACTTACCTCCCCTCCAGCAACCCTCAGTTCCTTTACTATGGTTAAGAGTCTCTCATGGTTTTTCGCCCTCTCTGATGACTTTCCATTCAATTCTCTTTAAACTCATGGGAAGAAGTGCAGCTGTGGGCTTAAAAAAGATAGAGCAAGGGGAGCGGGAGAAGCAGATCGTCCCAAACCCAGGTGCTTGTTGTTATTCTACAAGTCTGTGTATTCAGATGCCAAGTGTTTGGGACATGCTGGTGAACCAGAAGTAGGACGTGCATACTCTGGCCACTTGGGTTTGGAATTAAGAGGGAACGCGTTGTCCCCATCCTCTGTTATTTCTGTGAGGGCAACTGCCTCCCCGTCTCCCCTTAGCACTCTTAAGAGGAATCAAGCATAAAATGTACCCAGGCATAATGGGGCGGAAAAAAAATAGTAAGACTTGAAAGAAAAAGCCACAGATTCTCCTTGACTGGATGCCCAGATACTGTGTAGTTTGAGCCAATTGAGCTGCCTGCTTAGTAATCACATATTTCAGCTTCTTTTTTGGGGGGCTCTAGAATGTGTTTTGATCCAATGGACACAATATCGTAGGAAGCTCTTCCAAGGGTTGGTAAATAGTCACTTGAGCTGACCTGTTCCTGGACTTGCCCAGTGCATCTGCAACCGGGGTGAATCACTTGGTGAGTCATTTGACCCTTCACTGAATGCTGGAGCTGGAGACAGGACAAGGCTGGGCAATCATGGTACTCAGGATGGTATGGCTCATTATCCATTCACTGTGGGATTTGGCGAATGCAGTGGTGGAAGATTGGAGTGTCAGTAGGTTACAGACCAGGCACATAGTAGAAAGGAGATACTCCAAATGATATTTATCAAATCAGTAGCCAGTAAGTAGTCCATGGAACCAGAATGCCTGGAGCAACAGGGGTCTCCAGGCTGCCATCAGAGGACACTTCCATGGAGCTGTAAAGATTATTGGAGAAGAGCAGAGGTGTGGAGTGAGCTGAGATACAAAGCAGGAAGTAAGAGAAGAATCATGTTTGGAGAGGAGGGAGCATGTGGAGCGTTAGACCCTGTCTCATGAGCACTGCTTCTTTGCAGTTGCCCTCGGAGAGTACTGAAGCAGTGTAGCATGTGGACTTGAACTCTTTCCAGCTGTAGAGCCATCTGTAAAATAACTTCAGATACCATCACAGCGATGGCATGTGGATTAAATGAAATAATGCATGGGAAGCACTTGGATCACAGTGAAAGTGTAGTCCGTGTGGGCTGCCCGAATAGCCTGAAACTTCTCTGGCTGTTGTCGAAAAGACCAGCCACAGGGTCAGTTCCAGTCTCCCGAACTTGCCATTCAAAGCCGTCTTCCAAGCTGCCCTCAACATTCACATCTACACTTATTTAGATAAGCCAGGCTTATTTGTATACTGTCCCTGTGTACCCCACCACTCTGACCCACGTTGCTCCTCGTGTCACGCCTGTCCCATTTCTGTCAGTTTGAATGCTGCCATTCATTTGGACCTCAGCGGAATCTGCACACATCTGTGAAGCATCCCTAACTGACTTCTGAGTCTCCTTCCTTGGCATTCCTCTGTCACTGGTGGCCTCATTGCCTTAGTGCATTTCTCGTGATTTTAGTCAGGTTATACTATCTGCTCTTCAAGAGCCAGATCTCAGATTTTGCACTTCTCTGTATTCCACACAGTGACCTGCACAGGCTAGGTCAAATGGCACTGCTGACTCTCACCAGGTAGAACGGGGTATGAATCCCAGCTCATTCTCATGTTTGGAGGGCATGTGATTTCCAACAAATCACGTAATCTTCCTGAACTTCAGCTTTCTCAGTTGTAAGGTGGAGATATTAAGGTCCACCTTGCAGAATGCATATGAGGAGCAGAGATGATATGTGGATCATTCACCTGGCATATGGCAGGTGCTCAATAAATGGTAGGTACTACTACTGTTGTTGTGATTGTTATTAATATTGAGCCAGTGAACTAATATTTGTATATTTAATGTACCCTGGGGTCAAGGTGCTAAATAATTTCTCTTCTCTACAGTTATACAGCTCTGCTGAATTTGGGAGAAGGTGGCAGCTTATCCAGGAAGGGGTCGTACCAAACAGGTTCTACTGGTAAGTCTCATTTTATCTTGTAGCCCATTAAGGGATCACCTAGTAAATGAGCATTGGAATCTTTTTCTCACCCAGATCTCTCACGTGAGGTCTGTCCTTATCAAGATATGCCCACATCCCCGTAGGGCAGGGTGTGATACTGGAATAGTCAGCATTTCAAGGGAATGTTAAAGCTGTACCACCGATTACTCAATGAGCTCCAAAGAGATCATTGAGATTAGTGAACAACAAGGGCTTCGTAACTGCTGTTTTGTTATATTTCGATGGGGCTTGTGAAATAGACACTTAAAAACATTTTAATACTGGCTTTTGTTACTAAAAGCATTATACACACATATGTTACATGTTAAAATAAGGGTTTTCAGTGTAAATAAGTAGATCTTATTAGCCTAAAAGTAGGTCTTCCTTCCATTCCTGATTTCACATCTCCTTGATCTCCTCATTGTATGGGGCACAACCAGCATTCTTAGTTTCTTATTTCACCTTTCATAAATATTCTGTGAGTTACCAAACATACATATATATATATCATATATATATATATATATCTCCTTAGCTTGGCCTGCTGTAACACAACACCATAGAGTTGGTAGCTTAAACAACACATTTATTTCTCATGGTTCTTGAGGCCAGGAAGTCCAAGGTCAAGGGGCTGGCAGATTCAGTTCCTGGTGAAGACCAGGATATTTGAGAGGATATTGCAAGATATTTCAGAGGATGGTTCAGGATATTGCAGAGGGTTGCCTTCTTGCTGTGTCACACACAGGGGAGAACAACAGAGGAGCAGCAAAAGAAAGAAGGAAGCAAAGAAAGTAATATTCTTCCTTTTCTTTACCACCTGTGCCCATCCCCCTGTTTAAACTAGAGGTGTCGTCCCTCCATGGGAACCAGTGGCCACAATTGAAAAGAAAGGAAATAATACAAGCTCTTTTTGGTTTTTGAGTTTCCAAAGGCCTAGATCCTGGCAAAGTAAGAGCAAAGTAAGAAGCATTTTGGTGTAATTTTGACTTTACCTATCAGTTGCTTTTGAATTTACAACCTAATGTTTGCCAAAAGATATGACTCTACCCTGCTTGACCTGAAATCTGCCCACGGTAAAGGTTGTTTCTAGACTTTTGCTGGTATAAGCAGTACTATAAGAACTAGCTCAAGTAAGAGTTTCAATATCTCATGTCCACATCATTCAGAATCATTGGAACCATGACCTTTTAGGGGCCAACAGGCTCCCTACAACTCTGAAAGGTGTCTCCCCTTTGCTCCTGAAATCGCACTGCTTCTTATCAGCCTTTGGACTTACAGGTGCCTGCTAGCTCCCCACACCCACCCCAATTCTCTCACTTCTGAGGGCAATGCATTTTCATCTTTCTGGTTTTCAAACCCTGCCCTAAAAACCCCTGTGGGAACTGAAAGCTAGAGGAACTGCATTAGAGGAATCTCTTAAAATGCTTGTGAAACTGCCTGAAAAAGTGAAGGACAACTCATTTGCAAACAAACAGGCTCAAAAATAACACAGAGGGAATTCTATATGGAATGACACCTAATTTCCCCCCATCAGAAAGAGACATTTATAACTAAAGAAGGATTTTGTTGCACAGAAGCTGTTCACCTCTTTCCCGCTGCTGTTCTGGCTCAGCAATGGCTTGAGCCTTGCTCTCGAGGTCCACATTGGCCTCTCCCTCTCCGGGAATTCCACTCTAGCTGTCACTGAGCCTACCTTCTCTGGTCAGCATTTCTTCTCTTCCTCTCTTACTCATCCTGTCGTTTATTGACATGACATGACACCTTGAACCTCTGTATGTTTGCCTATAAAGTATAAAGTCACTTTTTGGAAAGAGGGCCCATGTTGTTTTGTTTCTGTTTTTGTTTTTCATTCTGTCTTTACTTGGTGCCATATGTGCAAAGAAAGGCTTCAGAAAATAAATAAATGAAGAACTAAAATAAACTAATGGAGTCCACCTAATTTAACCTGGAAATGAAGTTGATAGTTTGCCAATGAGAAAGTGTAAGGGACCAATCTTTCAAGTCCTGGTTCCGAGTGACTTGAAATAGCTGCCGTGGACCCAGCAAAGGAAAGTAGAAAGTTGCAATTTACAGAGGACTGGATGGACATGTGTTCTTACCAGTAGAAATGAAGAAAAGTGTTGACTAAAAAGATAGGCAAGAAAAAAGAACTGAGATGAGAATATTTTCCATGTAGGTGGTACATGGAACAGAATATTTTCTAGCTCACTAAAGGTCTTATTTACACACAGCATTATGAGGTGAATAGACCCCATCATTGCTTTGGCTGGTGCTGATTGCATACATTCTTATCTATTCTTTGAATAGGGGTCTTTTATCTGATTAGCAAAGCCCTTGTAACTAAATGTCATAATATCATTATCTTTATAAAAATGATTGTGGATGAGTTCTGATTAATCTGTCCATTAAGTAAAATAAAGAATGCCCCTCCTTCTGCCTTTGGATACAGAGAGACACATCTTCTCCATTCAAGCCCTAACATTGTGATAAGCGTGATTCACACTTACGCTGTTTAATTCCCCTAACAGTTTAATGAAGTAAGCCTTGCATTATCATCATTTACAGATGGGGAGCTTACAGCATGGAGAGGTTAACTAATTTAGCCAAGGTCACACAGCTGGAAAGTAGCAGAGTCAGGATTCAAATGCAGGCAGTCTGGCTCCAAGGTCCATGCTCTGCTAAATCAGTGGACTTCCTTGCCTCTGCCTCTTGGCCTTTTTTTCTGGGCTGCGGCTGTGAGCTCTGGAAACCCAGCCCGTTCAGGCAGGTGAGTAGAGAAAACCCGAAGCTCTTTTGGCCACGGTGCCTGCATGAGTATGTCTCTGACTGGGCTTGGCAGATGGCCCCCATGGGTTATTTAAGCTCTGTTCGTTTTTCCAGAGAAGGCATGAGACCTTATAAATTGCACAGTGCACATGACTGTTGATGAAAATCTCTGGATCTCTGGCCACATGGTCTGTATTTCTGACTGAACAACTTCCTGAGTCCGGCAGCAGAAGGGTCAGTCGGAGCGGTATTTATTAGACTCACTCCTGGAAACCAATAGCTTCAAATTATATGGGAACTATGGGGCTATCTAGGCTTGCTCAGCAAGCTTAATTATAAGAGGCCCCCTTTAATCATTTTTGCTTGGAGCCTGGCTGTGGGGGTGTGGAAAGGGCTGGGGGCAACTTTTCTAGTGATAAATTTTCTAGTGTAAGTGACTCTGGGTAATAACATAGCATTTCCCCCAGAGAAAAATGAAGATTAATTCACGTCTTTTCCTCATCACCTAGTCCACTTGAGAAATACCTCTTTTGGGTGGCGATAACATTGCCACCTCTGAAAGTAGTCGATGGCAATTGGAAAATTATTCTGGAACATAAGAGCATATTCTTATGTAATCACAGTGGTTGCTGTTCATACTCCCATAGCGAACATAAATACGAACTTTCCTCCAAGGAGTTCATATTGTTTTTAAAACAGATTTACGTGTGTGTGTGTGTGTGTATATTATATTTAGCAGCTTATAAAACACATCTTAGTACAATATTGCCCTTAATAGAGGAGGTGTTCTTTTTATTTAACTGTGATAGCAGTCTTGTTCTGTATTATGTCAGAAATCAATTACCCTGGGAGTACAGCCTAGAGATTAAGGGGCTCAGAGATACTGAGGTGGATTCCAGCTCTGCCATTTACTCAGTAAGGGATCACGGGGAAGTTATTCCTGTGAGCCTCAGTTTTTTTTCCTCTGTGAAGTGAAGATAATTAATACCTACTTCATTAAATGAGATGTTTTTCATAAACTGGTTACATACCTGGCACCTAAGAATTGTATTAAGTGCCCACTGACTAATAGTAATAATATTCTTAATAGTGGCTGAACTTCTACATCTATTAGTTTTGTTTTCCCCCCCTGCTGGTTTCATTCTCAGGTTGGTTTTCTCATTTGTGGCAATGATGGACATTATCAGCTTTAGTCTACTTTCTAACAGTTTAGAAGCCCTATCAAACCAGCCTGCCTCCTTCCTTATATTTCCAGGGATTGAATCTGAGTGGTCAAGGCTACAGAAGGTGGTACATTACTCATGTAGGTCAGGGGCCTGAAATAGGAGATGGGGTTGAGTCCCAGTCCAACTGCATGGTTCAAGGTTAGGGGAGAGATGATTACTAAAAAGGAGAAAAGCGGCATTCTGTTATCATCAAAAGGGAGAATAGATTTTCATTAGGGAAAAAAATACAGATGGGAGAACTGAGCATCTGCAAGATAAAATCCCATAATGGGGATTTCTATTAAGTTACTAGAATGATCTGGGCACATGACAAATTGTGTCATTTGATCCTTATAACAAGATTGTGAGGTAGGGATTCTTATCCTCATTTTGATGAAATAGAAAAGTGATATATTTTATCCAACATAACACACATAATATGTAATATAGCTAAGTTTTGAAACTTGGTCTGTCTGGGCCCATGGACGTTGGTTGCAGTAGTAAAAGTCAGCTTTATATTTAAGATTTATTTCTGACTTGCATCCCCCAATAATAAATGTTAGTTTAACAGTTCAGTAGATAAAAGCCAAGGTGTTGCTTTGACATTGAACAAGGACATAGAGTTGGATGATCAGTGGTATCCAAAATACTTGAATAAGGGAAGGTCCTGCCAAAAGCCAAATTCACTATTAGAAGTTTCTGCGTACTGCATGGAGCACTGGGTGTTATATACAAAAAATGAATCATGGAACACCACATCAAAAACTAATGATGTAATGTATGGTCATTAACATAACATAATAAAAAAAAGTTGCTGAATATGGCCTTTTTGAGATCTGTTTCAACTTTTGAACAAGGCAGTGGAAGGCAGTTTTCATTATAAACCACTCAGCAATCTATTATCTATGCAAAAGACAAGGCAATCTTAGAGCTGTTTCACTTAATTAAAAATAGGTTCAGACTTACCTTATTAATTATGTTGTTCTGACATATAGAGGGCTGGCTGTA